CCTTGGTGAGACAATAGCCTAGGTTGGGAATGTGATTGAGAGTAGAATGGTCTATAAAGCTATCTTGCACCCCACATCTGACCCATGAAGCATATCATACATATGTGCAAACATCTGAGTAAATGCTTACCTATCAGCTACATATAAGGATGCTCAGTCATCTCCTCATATGGATAAGCAAATCATATGTAATACATTCTGTAACTTTGTTTTGACTGAGGCAAGTGTCCCAAAATTCCACTACATATATCACAATGGCTACTTGGGAAATACTCATGAAGCTATTTGACTGTAACAGACAGGGAATGTGGTCCCCAAGACCCATGTTCCCATCAGGGAACCTCTTTAATGCTGGCAGTGTTGATGTTACCTTGGATCAAATCCTTGGATGGAGCTTCCCTTGGAGGCACAATCCAAAATCCGAGGACTCCTTGAATTTTTGCCTCCGAGGCAAATATGTTGGCTGTGATGAAATCCAAGTATCCACTCAGCTCAGTTCTAGCTGAATAGTTTGGAACCCATGAAATAGAACTTGGTTATGAAAAATATCTGTCACATTCAGTTCATCTGAATCTGAAACAATACATACTTCAACACTGCCAGCAAAGATACCTCGGATCAAAAAAACCGAGGTATCCTTGGATATAGATTCTGTTGGACTGTGGGCCCAAGGAATTAATCCAAGGGTTTCTTTAGCCCCAAAGATTGCCTCGGACGCCACATGCAATGCTATTGCCATCCGAGGTAACCTTGGAGTTTCTAATCCGAGGCATCCTTGTTGGCAGTGAAACTTGGTTGGCCATTGTAAACAGTGAACACAACTTTGAGCCTGACCAACATGGCTCTGCACCTAAGGTTTCACAGAGATTTTAGCCCTCAAGGATGAATCATTATGTGTAAACAAATCAATAGAAATCAAAGCAACAGAGTGATTGATTCAGTTCATAAAAATCGCCTTCTAAGGCATCAAACCCAGAGGAAGATGAAGCATTTCAGGAGAAGTGAACAAATCATGCTTTGGCAGCTCCAAATAAGTTTTAAGCGGCATACTGAAACTTGGAATTGAATGTGTCAAGTTCTTTCACTCAATCCAAAAAAAATAGTTATCATAGAATACCCTTTGGATTCATTTGATAAGGAAGTTCACATCATTGTATCCTCACACCGCGGGAATGATTGAGTTCAAAACCCGATTGAGCGAAGTTGCGGTGTCCGAGTCCGCAACTTTGCTCAATCACCAATCTCGTTCACAGGTTTCCCTCCAGTTACCCTCCGCAATCTTAAGTAACAATCATACAACAGAAAGTCTGACAAGTCATCAGTCTTCGACATTTGTTGTTAATCTAATTCATCTTTCCAATTTTCATCTCAGTGCTTTCACCATGCCCCATGAAGTATTGTCCCATCACCATCATGTGGGTCGCTAACCAACAATGTTAAACAACACTGTGTGTTTATGGCAAATCTTTTTAGAGACATGGACAGTGAATTGTGCTTATGTCAATCTTTTTCAATGTTCCAGATGCTCAACCAACAAAGAAAGGAGCTCATCAAGGACGATTTGAAATTTGATCTTGAATACATACAAAGGCAGAGTATCAGTAGAGCTCGGGGGAAACCTGTGAACGAATTGTGAACGTGATGTGAACAAGATCCGTGATTGAGCAAAGTTGCGGACTCGGACACCGCAACTTCGCTCAATCGGGTTTTGAACTTAATCATTCCCGCGGTGTCATATACAGTCACTTTTACAGAGCTTGGAAACAATATGATCAATGCGTCTGGACGTATAAATGAGTCTTGTATTTGCTCGCTTGTAGAGTCAAGTCTCTGTACGACTCATCTGGGTACTCAGGGCCAGACTTGTTTGGTTGCGACTTCACCCTTGCGCAACTACTTTTGACCCAACTCTCAATCAACCATTCATTTTAAACCTCAGGACCATATACTTGTATCTGATGTAGGTAGGATTAGACATATCAAATCAACCACAATGCTATGAATGGATTCATTTTGTTGAGTTGATCAATCAATTTCATTCACATGCTTGGAGCCGGTAGAACAGTTTATGACTATATCAACTATATAACCCAATCTTGCAATCCAGAATCTCAAAGCAACAAGACTGATAAAAACACACATAAGAAGGCTAATAAAAAGCCCTAATAAGGCAGATAATTGCTTCACTTAGTTCTCTTTGGCAATTGGGACATTCAACTCTGCCTCCTCTAATTCATCTAATGGGGTGGAGAGAATCATTTGACCCTTCACCATACCCTCCCATACTACACTTGCAACTTCGACCATCAAAATCCATTCCAGCCGCAATACCTTATTGTATTCTGAGGTTCCCACCATATAAACAGCCGTATCTTGAACCAAGCTTGCTGCATCAGTGCCCCAAGCCATCACTAACTTTGAGTGCTTCAGACTCAGCAAGTGTAGAGAGCTGAGAACCAGGCAACACTTGACCCAAGTTGATGAGCTCAGATTTCTATGGGGAAATATCCACCTGACAAGGTCACACATTTCCAGATTCAATTCATCCCAAGCTTCAGAAGGTAAAAGTAGATCAATGAAGTATCATTCAGTCATTGAGTACGTATAGATTTACTCACCACTTTCAATCAAACAGTGCAATTCATGAAGCTTGTCCTTCATGGTAGTTGCCCGTAATAACATCCAGCGCACCTCCCGTGCTACCCTTTGAAGCTCTTCATCTGTCCGTTGAAAAATACGCTATTCGCGGATCCCCTGTTGCGTGGCCAGGTCTCTAGCCCATGGCTCATTAGGAAGTGTCAGATTACCTAGACTCCAGTACAGATCATCCATCAGAAGGGCCTGAAGTTTGTCAATGGGTGGACAAGGTTGTATATGTGATGTTGGATATGAGATAAGATAGTTGCTGATCTGAGTTTTGTATGTCTTGAATTTTCTTTGAAACTGTTCTTGTTTCCCTTTCATCACAACTCAATATTGTTCGTGTTTCCGGCATCCTGCAATAAGCAAGATGAAAGCCAAATTAGTATGCCAGAGCATGTTCCTCATGCTCACTCTGGCCTAAGCTGTACACCTTGAGTCTCAACAATTCTTGCCTTAGCCTCCAAAAGCTTGATGTTTGCCAGTCGAACCCTTATCAACACTTGTCCTTGTTGATCTGGCGAAGTGAAACAGAATAAGTTCTTTTCAGCAAATCTCTTTGATTGGTTTTAATCTCTTAGACACCTCACCTGTTATACCAGGCTCATTTTGAAAGTCTTCCGATCCTAGCCGTGTAGAAACTGAAGCGATCTGCTCTTCAAGCAGTACCAGAGTTCATGGTAGCCTGAGCAAGGATGCTTGCTCAGATTCGGTTTACGTACGGCGATTCTTTGCCTGTAAAAGCTTCATCTTTTTACTGAGGGAATCAAGTCAACATATGGACAGTTTCTAACAAACAGAAGAGGACTTACTGAGCAGCAACAAGCAGCAACTAATTGCTCGTCAAGATCCAATGGGGTGTCCAATTCTTCCATTAAACGGTGGTGGCTGTAATCAGACATTGTCTTGAGCTGACAATTTTGCTGTCAATTCCATTGCTCAGCAAGGTATTGATGCCCTTTTCCCTGCTGTTCGAGTATGTTGAGTTTTTGAAGGCTGGAAACACGGAGATTCTCAGTTTTTTATCACAGCTATGATTAATTGATTAAATGATTGAAGTTGATTTCTTTGGAATCGTTCCTTTTGTTTTGAAGTTATCATTTAAATCATTCATATTTGTGTCGTCCTAAGTTGGTTTAAATTTGTCAAATTTCAGTTTTGAGATTAAGCCTGAGCGCGATCGAACTTTTTCTATCAAATACTACAGATATCAGATAAGATAATGATAGCCAGATCTCTATGCTTGTAAGATTCCGATTTGACGCTATATATGAGGACAACCAGAATTATGAGCAATCAAAAGGTCTTTAGTGATGCAAGACCAATGAATCAAGAAAACCCTAACAGAAGGCTGTTTCTATGTTGGATCTCAAGCATAAGGTATCTTCTAGTTCGTCATTAGACGTATCCGAGATTACGCCGTACCTTAAGGTATCTGCTACTTCGTCATTAGACGTATCCGAGAATACGCCGTACCTTTCTCTGTTGTCAATATACGCGCAAAATAGGACCCTATGAAGGCTTTTTCTTATCTTTCAGACGAACCGAAGACCTGTTATTTGGAAAGAAGAAAATGTTAGCTGGCTCAAGCATGCCTACAACTGAAACACTTGACTTGTGGAGCCGCCTGACTTCCATTATATCCTCCCGGGATTTGTTGTCTGAGAATGACATGGCTCATGCTATCAGTTTGAGTTTTGAAAGCGATTTTCAGTAAGAGACAATTGAGGATCTACTTTCTGATTTGCATCCGAATTACAAAAGAGAAGTTTGCGCTGACTCATGATGCCAGTCGCTGAAAACAACTACCACGTCAACATATCTACCATAAACCAAGATTCTATCCAAACTCACATCATCATCAAAAGTACATCTTGCTCGTAGTGCTGTCCTCTTTGAGTGGATCATTGGGACTGTGGACTATCAGTGGACCTCATTTTTTGCAGAATCTGGTAAATGCAAACCGTGAGTTACAAAATATGACGCGAATCCGAGAAGCTTGTGTAGGTCTGACTCTTCTGAAGCTCATACGATGATTGACCTGATAGATTTGATTATTGAAAATGTTAAAGTCAGGTCGGCCTACGGCTGAAGGGAGTGGTCAAGGGAAACAGCACCAAACAGCAGAGAAGCAGGAGGCACAAAGGTTGGGACTTAGGTGTACCACCTCTTGAGGCCTTAGGGGTTTAATCCAGTTTTGCCGAGAAACTGGGTTGTGCCTTTAGTGTTATGATCTCATTCAAATCAAATTGTCACACATAGTGGCTACAACTATGAAACTTTCAGGACCAGTTTTCACCAACATGGTAATAACAAAACGATGTACAAGGTCGGGGTTTAACAGCGCGATTTACAATCAGTCAATGTGAATACAAATATCTTTTTTTTTGGCGTCTTCTTTTGTTAAGACCTTTTAAATAATCCGCATGATATTCAATTAGAGGTTTCCACAAATCAAACCAACTTGAGGCTTCGTTTTTATGAAATTGTCGCCAGGTTGCACAGGGACGTGGAGCTGGGAAGTTTGGTTTTGTGAAATCAGTCGGCGAAGGCAGAACAATGGGAGGGTTAAGATTGTGAGCAGTGAAGTAGGGAAAAACCATCTGACTATAAGTGTCAGGTTCGTAGTACAAGACAGGGCGATCAAATGTAGTGGCTATCACCCCACCCCAACTGGGCATTCCAAGCCAATGCTGTTGGTCGGTGAGAACGTTGGGTTTGTTTGTGATCAGACGAGTAATGGCATCATCCCAATTCTCGGGTAAGAGGCGGTCATCATCAATGCTGGTTGCTGTATCGGCAATCCTTTGACGTATGCTGGGCCATTTGTCCTGGGATTCGCCTATGCAGATTGCTATGGCTCGGAAACCGCAGTGGCCATCTGCTTTCACTTCTTGCACGTCAATAACAAAGGGTTCCAGCCATGAGTGAAGCCGGTACTTTGCCAGGAGCGCCCGTAGATTTGGATTGATTACGCTGGGCTTGTGTAACAGCGCAGCCTCGCGGGCACATTTACGTGTGACCCAAGGACTAGGAGTTGGTGGTAATAAAGTTCCTAACAATGGTACTGGGTGCGGGGTGGGGGACGTCACAGATGCTTCAGGTTGTAATAAAGCAATTTGATTTGGGTAATGAATGTCTTGAGCCAGATGTTGTGTTTCCGAGAGTGGTGGTTCGTTGGTTTGGTTCTCAAGTGTTGTTGTAGGAGGTGAAGTAGGAGGTAATAGTAACTTGGATTTCAGCCGGTTGTTAGCATCATCAAGTGAGGGCTGAGATATTATGAGGTCTTCAAAGTTGAACGTCGATGTTGTAGCTTCGGATGGTCCACAGAAGTCTTCAATGAGGCTCTTGACCTACACGGACCATGTTATCATCAGTAGAAATGCACATTGATTCTTCTACTACCAGTCCAATAGCTTTATTTGGGGCTTACTGAAAGTTCTTCCCAATCGGCGGGTACTGGTGATATGTAAGGTGACATTGGAGTTTCATTGACCAAGTTGTAAAGAAGATTCTATGCGTTTTTAAGAAATGGTCAGATTTATATCTCGGTTTGTAGATGTTAGGTTTCTCAACGTACCGGCTCAGGGGGTTCAGGTAAGAAGGACATTGGTAATTTATGTTCATTGTTGACCATGCGTTCATTACTGATGATCGTTTGGATCTTCATTAGGACCGCCTGCCGACGATGTGGGGCCATAGCGCAGAGTTCACCTCTGAGCTTCGAGATGGTGGAATCCAACGTCTCAAGCGTCTTGAGGTCAGCTTTGATGTCGTAGTACAGTGGCGTAGCGGTAGTAACATGGAGGGTTTCAGGAAGCCGTGCATTGGCGTCAGGCAGTTCGAAGTTATTTTTTGGTTTCAGTGATTCCGTGGTGGTGGTGGTTATCTATGATGATAAGAAATTATCATAACAATATTAATTAGATTTCGTTATTGAATTTGAGCTTGAATGTCCGATGAGTCCAACTAGCAGATGATTTTAGAGTAGGGTAACGTTGACTTACAAGTGTTTGTATCTCTACATGGGGCTCAGGGTGGTTGATCAACCTGCAAATAGATCCTTCAGGTGTGGAGGCAGGTTTTTTCGATAGACTATTGAACGTAAAGGTTTTAGATGTAAGTTTTTTGCTTGTTGATCTGGTGTTTTTATTTGATGTGATGTAACGTTGAGTTGCTTACTTTGAAGTCACATTGGCTGTTGACTGAGTAGTTGTTTTGATGTTGGCGTCAAGGACGACACCTGGAGCAAGGATGGGTCCAGCTTTGGGATCGATGTGCCTCTTCCAAGGTTTCACATTAGGGTTGGGCGGGTGATTGTGACCAATGTGAGTATGGATTAGGATCCATGACGACGAATGGTCAAGGAATTGAGTGTCCATTTTGAACGGGCAGCAAATACGAGCCAATTTTGTTGTTCCTTAGACTTTAGGTGGATGGCCTGATCGGTAGCATTTGTAGTGTGAAACTGCACTACTTTTCTTGTGTGAGTTACCTATCCGCATACGATAGCTGTGGTTCGTAGCTGGGAATTCGGCAACATAATGGTCCATCTTCCTGCGATCTTTGTGATGAATTTCGATTTTATCAGGTACCGGCATAATGTACTCTTCCTGGTACTCTTCCTGGCGCATGTGTACAATGGAAATCAAGGTCGGTGTAATGAATGGATGCCAGGAGGGACAGCTGGCGTATATGGAGGTTGTGGTAGTGAGATTTGGCATTGTGGGTGATTGAGAATTGGATACTGGGAGTTTGACTTGGGTAGTAAGATGATGGCTTGTGTAGTAATATTTGAGGTTGAGGAGCGATTTGGGGAGTTATGTAGTAAGTTTAGAACTTGGGTAGTAAGGTCTTATGCTGGAGTCGTAGGATTGTTACCAAAGTAGTGAGATTGCATACATAAGTAGTAAGATTAGGCCTTGTGTAGTAAGATCTTGAGCTTGAGTAGTAATATTTTTGATCAAGTAGTGAGATTTTGTCGTGAGCCGTGAAATTTTGACTCTGGTAGTAAGTTTTTTACTTGGGTAGTAATTTATTTACTTGAGTAGTAACATATTTTGCTTGAGTAGTGAGACTTGTAGGGGTGCGTGGGGGTGGGCAAGGCCCCCCCCTTGGAGAAATGGCCCTTAGAGATTTTTGTAGGTGACCATAGGACCACCTATCTTTCTAACAAATTCTAAAGGGGGGGCTTCCAAGTACATAGGATAATAGGTACATGTGTATCATCCAATACACTCGGTGCTTTACAGTATACACAGGTGCAAACATCCACCCTTTTGGATTCTTCTTTTTTCTCTCGAGGTTCTCTATCTTGTTATTTCTGAATCTCTCTATTTCTCTTATTTCGTTTCTTTGATTCTGACTATTGGCTGAATTAGGTACAAGGAGGTTCTCTATCTTGTTATTTCTGAATCTCTCTATTTCTCTTATTTTGTTTCTTTGATTCTGACTATCGGCTGGATTAGTAATTCAAACAAGGGGATCAGAATAATCCTCGCTCTTTGTGAGCTTGCGCCTAGACTAAATCCAGTGAAGGTGGAGAACTGCAACTCCACCTTACACTTTTTTATTCTCCCCTTATACTTGTATTTGACTTCAATCAATTGACAATTCAGTTGTCAACCTTATTCAGTTTTCGCACACTCGCCGTAATATCAATTACTGGCGTTTTAAGTTGTGTACTCGCACCCTTTGGAGTGCCGTTTTAAGTTTTATATTCAAGGAAGATTTTGTCACATTCAATTGATGTTGGATCAGCCTCGTCACACTCGAAGCAATCCTACTGCCGATTTAGTATCAGTACCTAATCCAGAACAGATTTTGTTCCCGCGCTCTGCACGCTTACAGTCTCAGCAACCGCCAGTTCGATCCGAGTCGTTATTTTTTCAGAATTTGGATTATTTTATCAACCCGCCAAATCGGGAGGGTGTGCAAGCTCTAAGACCCTCGCCCGCTGTTTGGTCGCCAATTGCTAATCAGCTCTCACCGCTGATCTCTGCGACAACACCGCTTTTGGGATCCCCTGCGTTATCTGGGACGACGGCTCTCTCATCCTCCATTGACCTCGATCAGATCTTGACACTATCTCCTGTCCGCCCTCACGCAACTCTCCCTCACCCGATACGCAGGAGTTTTCCGGGAGACTTTAATCCAGGTGTCTCTTTTGCCATGACGGACGATACGGCGACGGGGAGCGTTCTACCGGGACAACATGACCTGACCCAAGGACCCGCCGATGAACAACATCAGCCTATTTCGTTAACTCAAGTGCACGCTGAGACTACTGCTATGCGTAGTGAGATCAATGAGCTGTGTGGCCTTTTACGCGAGTTCGTGAGGATGGTTTACGGTCCACAGGTTTTGCACTCACGTCCTGTTACCCCTTGCAATTTCTTGGGGGAATCTGGCTCTCAAGACACTGCCATCCCGCCACGAGCACAACCTACACAAGGACCGCCAGATCCCCTCTTGACGTCGAGGTGGGTCAGAGTCTCGCAGTTGTCTCCAGCCTGCATTGCAATCAATTTTCATCTGAGCAGCTCAGATATGCATGGTTCCACCGGCTTAGCTCAATAAGTTTTAATGAACAGCCCTGTACGTTCAGCTATTCCTCCAAACTTTAGGGAACATAGGGATATTGAGAGGTCCAAGGCCGAGTCTCAGTTGCTGGGACGGTGAACCCGTACATACACACACATAACCCTTGTGTCATACCTTCAATGACATCTCCCTCCGGCTCGGTGCCTCATCACGGTTCTCCTGCCGGACCATTGGCTAACCGAGAAACCAATCGCCGCGATCAATCACGGCTTTCATCAATTATTTTCTTTATACTTCACTGTAGTGCACGGGACAACTCGAGACCCATCATATCAAAAGCACACTTTTATCGGACTATCCCTCAACGGACTCAACTACTTGCATATGTAAGTCAAATGAGCATCGACACTCATACCCTCGCCTTCTTAAGGTTATTATCAAACAGGTTTTAGGGAGGTTTGTGTCTATCTAATGCGGGTAGAGCTCTGAATTAACATATATATTCCTTTGTAGGGTCAGAAAACAATGTGATCATGGTATTTGAATTGATGTCCGCTTCAGTCAACATATACAACTATAGCGACTGGTTGAGCAGTGTCTCAAACACTTTATCGACTAGATCTAATAAGCTCGCCCACCCGCAGGCGCGAAAGAAGAAAGTTATCAAATGCATCGTCATTAAGGAGCTTGTGCCCACTTCAATCACCGATGAAATGGATATTGATCAAGGGAAAGGCAAGGAATGAAGTACTCAATATGATAAATCTGAAGAAAAAATTGTGATCAATCAGGAAATTGCTAAGATCACCAACCTTGCATTTACTCTCATGGGCACTCACGGCGAACTCGATGTTCATGGCATGTATCATGGAATAACACTGGTCTTTCGAAGAGCAAATGGCTTGTACCTCAAGATTGGATCCCTCCATATGATTCTGCTGCTGCGCTAACCATCAAAATATCAATCGCATCGTACCAACATTCGGACTCAACCAAAAACCATCAATTGTGCGACCCACGACTACTCTACAACCAAGCAACCCTTTTCCTTTGCTATTTGAAAAGTTCAAACCCAATCCTAGCGATCCATCCAGCATCGCTATGCTCCCTCAAATCTACAGACCATTTGATTGGCTCACCATAGAAAGCTGGGCAACTCAAGGTCTCTTTGGTTCTAATGCAGATTGAATCAAGATCAAAGTTGATACTTCAACATCTGGATCGAGCCAATGGTGTACTTTGTCTCAAATCTTCTAATGATTTTTTTCTGAAAAGTCACAAAACAAAATTGTTCCCTGCAGTGATCCTCGACAACCACCATTGTAACTGACTTCAAATCATCACACTTGGTTGTAATAGGTCTCTAACTTAGACTCCAATTTGCTAATTATATATATCATACTTTCTCTGACACTCTGCCTATCCAGCTTTCTAGGAAAGTGCTCTTTTAAGTTTGCATGCTCAGCAGCTTGACCAAGAAGCTAGTCGCCAATTGTTGTGTTTCCTCTTTACGTGTGCTAGCTTCTTGTGCCATAGTCGACTGTGGTCAATAAGTTATCAAGATCTCTTCTTTGCCTTGCTTTGTAAGAAAGTATGGAATATGATTATTTTTGACGGGTCAAGTAGCACTTGCGACATCTTTCTCACACCGTGGGGTTCCAGGAGGATTTCCAGGAAGAGTTCCAGTAAGGGCTAGCGGTGAGGGCCGGCTGCCACCGACGTCATTTGGTTGTTGACTGTTAGGGTGAAGATCGATTCAAACAAGTCTCACCTTGAGGATATCCTACTAACATTTCATCCTCTGTCAAACTATCATTGGATGCATCATCTGCATAATGAGTCTCTGTACTTTTTTGTGGTCGCTTCTCCATCACAGTGTACTAACAAGAAGCTATAATATTTGTATCTTGACTTTGACTCCCATCGGATTCATTGTCATCATTGTACTTAGTTTGTCTAGGTTTGGAAGGCTTGTTGATGTTTTATTGAGAGTCCTGATCGTCATCTTGGTTTGCTTCCTTATCTCTATGTGATGTCGAGACTGAGTTGTTGAATAGCAAGGGTGATAAGTCGAGTTACAGATCAGTAGTACCTGGAGGTCTCCGAGAAGCCAACTTATCTGCATCATCTTATAGGTAAATGATTGTAGGTTGAGTATCAATAACCCACTGAAAGTCAGATTCCTCGATCTTTTGTTGCTTTGATTTTTGACCATCCTTGTGTTCGTTGGAGTCTTCTAGCTCTAAATAATCCATGTCGATAGACTGCTTTTACGATATGTTTCCAAGTGAGTAGTGTGGTGTTGGCTTTATGTATACAACAGCTGACTTTCCTCCATCTCACCTTCTTCTCTTAAAATACAGCCTTAAGGTCATTTGATTCCTCAGTGACATCAGCCTTTTCTTTATGTTTGCCTTTCTTTTGATCTTTTGTCATTTTTTGCTTTTTGTTCTCCGAGATACCGGAAACGTTTGTAGAAGAAAGCTGGTCGGGTGAAGGTGGAGGAGATCTCCCTAGAAGTCTTTGGACCGTTCCACTGTAACACAATTCATAATTTCTCTTCCAATTTTGAACAAGGTCTTTTATTACCCCCATAGTTTCTCTTAATAAGCTTTGTTCCATAGGGTCTGGTATATTGTCAGCTTCTTCTTTGTTTGCTTGATTAGACTTGGGTACTGCCTTGTCGCCAGCCTTGTTTGATCTTACATTACATATGGGTTCATGGAGGTTTACCATGTGAAATATCAAAGTTGAGTCCAGTTTTCTGAGCAGAATTTCCATTGAATAAGGAGTTCAGCCCAAGCTGAGAGCTCAAAGATGGTCATCTTCACTGATCATGGGATCTTTGCCTAAGCACTGGCCAAGGCTAGGACACACAAAGGCATATGGGATTGGACGCATTTGGGACACAATTGCGAGGCTCTTGGTCCCCCTCGATGTCAAGGGGGGATCTGGCAGTCCTTGTGCTAGCGATCGTTTAGTTTTGCCTTTGGTACCGGAGGTGACACCTCAACCTATGTACACTTCTACACCTTTCAATTGTAATCCTTTTTGCACTTCGGTGCCTTCCATTTGTAACACTGCTAGTCTCAATCATCAACAACCTGCAGCGGTAGTGCCGGTCACAGTTAGTGCTATTGACCCGGTTAGATTCAGAGTATCTGATTTCCCCAAATATAAAGGGAAGTATGGTGATGTCTCGGCTTACCGTATCTGGCATCATAAGGTCGAACAAATTTTCAAGGTGAAGGGTATTATCTTGGACTCTGATTGCTTCAATATTCTGCTGCTCTTGCTCAGTAACAATCCTGCGGCGTCTTGGTGCCAAAGATTGGGTAGCTTTGAAGGTCACACTTGGTTATCGGTCATGAAGGAGATGGAGTCAGTAGTTTTACCGGTGGATTGGTTGGACAAAATTAAACAACAATTACATGATCTATCAATGAAGCCGGGAGAACATATGAGCACATTTTGTGCACAAGGTTGAGTTTTGTAGGAAGCGGCGGGGTTGGATGAGTGTTCAGAGGAAAGTTTGGCTTGGGCTATAGTGGGGGGTTTGATGTCGTTAGTTCGAGCAATCCAACAACGCGATCAACTGATCAAGACTAGCATCAATCCGGTTTTGAACAAGTTTTTGTTTGCCATGTTTGAGCAACGGGCTTGTGCAGCCTGGAACTATGCAATCGAGATTGAAGGTTGGGGTAAGGGTGGCAATAGAACTCACTCATCTTCTCACGTAGTCTCGGAGACTCAAACGAGTCAGTCATCTCAACGCATCACTGGGAACACTCGTCCTGCTTTATCACCAGAAGAAACAGCTGCTTGTAATGCGTGTTTTCTTGCGTACATGTGATTGGTGGGGCTATGCCCTCGTTGTAAGACTTCATGTCCAAAGTGGTTGGGTGGTTGTACTGCAGACGCTAATATGACTTACATACAAGTACCAGCGGATTTCCCAAAGAACCCACTGTACCTGCCAGCAAAGCCAGCGGGAGGTTCTTCTCGTCCAGGGGTTACGTCTACCGCGAAGGCACCTCAATGCCAAGTGGAATTCGCAGCAGTCAGTGCTGGTGAAGAAGTAGACGTAGCGGCAGTGGGAGTATTTCCTGACTTAGGTCGTGAAGATTTATTGGCTTATGAGCAATTATTGGCCTGCCTTCAACGACCACCTGATGACAACCTTGTGGACGCTGCGGAGTGTGTTCTGTCTCCTGGTTCATTTGAACTCTCACCCGATAACACCAAGCCCCTGATTTTTGAATTTATGGTGAATGGTGTGGAATTACGCGCGTTGGTTGATACGGGTGCAGGAACGAACTTGATGTCGACACAAATGGCCACTAAGTTACGCCTTGTGTGACACTCTCTGCCTGTGCCCGTGACTGTACATCTGGCTATTAAGACAGAACGGAACCCATTTACCTTGACGGAGTTTGCGTTTGCTAATATCAAATCGACGACTCCCTCTTTTACCTTTGGTGCTACGGCATGGAAGTTGGCTCCTTTAGGTGGATTGTACAATATTATTCTGCGGACACCATTCCTGGCTAAGCATCATTTGGACGTATCAGTGGGGTCACAGTTGATGAGGCATTCAAGAAATGGGTATGAGTTTTGTGTTGTGATGAGTGATGAAAAGGTGCTGAAAAAGAGGAGGGATGTGTTGGTCGCTACGGTTTTAAAAAAATTGTCCCAGGCTAAAGAAGCCCATGATTCTTCTATTCGTGAAATGAAAATCTTAAAAGATTTCAAAGACTTAGTTCAAGAAGAATTGCCTGATGTTCGGAACGAGACCGATGTAGATGATGAGACAGAATTTTTCCCTGAAAGATTACAGGATGAGTCTTCCACTACACGTCATCGGATATTCCTCACGGATCCTGATGTTGTTATCAATGAAAAGCAATACGGATATCCTCGGAAGCATTTGGCAGCTGGGCAAAAGTTGATTGAGCTACATGTCAAGGCTGGACGGTTACAAAAATCAAAAAGCCAGTATACTTCCCCCTCAATGATAATTCCAAAGAAAGATCCTACAGATTTGCCACGCTTAATTTGTGATTATTGTTGATTGAATAAATTTACAATAAAAGACCGTGGGCCATTGCCCGTCATGGATGAGTGTGTGAGAATTGTTGCCCAAGGAAGGATCTTTTCATCATCAGACCAGATCAACACGTTCTTTCAGACACTTATGTATGAGAAGGACATTCCGCTTACAGCAATAAAAACGCCTTGGGGACTGTATGAGTGGGTTGTTATGCCAATGGTCCTGACCAATGCACCAGCAACTCAACAACGGCGCTGCGAAGAAGCATTGGGGGACCTGGTGAACTGTGTTTGTGTGGTATATATAGATGATATTGTGGTTTTTTCCAACTCAGTAGAGGAGCATGAGGAGCATTTACGTAGAGTGTTGAAGAGACTAAGAGCGGCTAACTTGTATTGTGGTATCAAAAAGACAAAAATTTTTCAAAGATCAATCAAATTTTTGGGACATGTGATTGGTGAAGATGGAATTAGAGCAGATGATGAAAAAGTTGAGAAGGTAGCCAACTGGAAGAGTCCGAAATCTGCAAAGCAAGTAAAAGAGTTTCTTGGGACAATTCAGTGGATGAAGAAGTTTGTGGATGGGCTGGAGAAGTATGCGGGACAGTTGACGCCATTAACAAGCAATAAAAAGCTAGATAAGTTTGAGTGGACGGAAAAAGAGGAAGGTGCATTCAATAACATCAAGAGAATGATCACTACTTTTCCGGTGCTGCGTAACATAGACTATGATACGGATGAACCAGTTTGGCTTTTCACTGATGCCAGCGGTCATGGGTTGGGTGCAGCGCTTTTTCAGGGTGCTGATTGGGAGACGGCAAGCCCAATAGCCTATGATGGTTGGCAAATGACAGCTGAAGAGAAGAATTATCCCGTTCATGAGCAAGAATTACTCGCGGTGATCAGTGCATTAAATAAATGGAAGCTTTTGTTACTGGGGTTGAAGATCATCACTCGTTGACTCACTTGTTATCTCAGAGGAATTTAAGCCGACGACAGGCGAGGTGGCTGGAGACACTTTCACAATTTGACCTAGATTTCCTTTATTTGCAAGGAGCGGATAATTCTGTGGCGGATGTATTATCTCGAGTAGAGACAGCAGCCGTTATTACTTCAAAGGCAAATCTTAGTGCCCAGATGATAGACGACATCAAGAAAGGATATAAGACCGACCCATTCTGTGTGAAGCTAGCAAATGTACTACCGTTACGGTCTAATTGTGTGTGGCAAGATGGGTTGATGTTTTTGGATGGTCGAATAGTCATACCGGCAGACGCTTCCTTGAGACGTGCCCTAATCGAATCAGCTCATTCTTTGGTGGGGCATTTGGGAGTTTTGAAGACTGCTGGACGATTACGAGAAGAATTTTATTGGCAGAAGATGTCGGAAGAGGTAGAATCATATGTGTCTAAGTGCGACGGATGTCAACATCATAAAGCCCGTACTACAAAAATTGTTGGCAGACTTCAATCCACAGATCTTCCTCGTCGTCCAATGAGTAGTATCGCACTTGACTTTGTTGGCCCGTTCCCAAAGGTTTCCGGGTATGACATGGTATTGTCATGTACATGTCGGTTAACTTGATTTGTGAAGCTTATTCCCGCGAACCAAAAAGACACGGCGGAACGGACAGCTCGTCGGTTATTTAAGGAGTGGCTCTCTCTTTTTGGGGCACCCGATGATATGGTAGGGGATCGTGATAAAACCTGGCAATCACGGTTTTGGAGAGAACTACATCAGCAGCTGGGTATTTCAGTGAATCTGACGACAGCTTACCATCCTCAAGCTGATGGTCGGGCCAAACGCACAAACAAAACATTAGGACAATTGTTACGGTTCTAGACTCAAGACAAACAAGGCAAGTGGTTGGAATTGTTACCAAGTGTTGAATACACCATAAATTTGTCAATCAATGTATCAACTGGAGTATCTCCCATGCGCTTTTTCCTAGGTCTGCAACCACGCCTGTTCCCGATTGGGAAGTCAACATCTGCGGTGGGGTTCGATGTGGAGGATTGGTTAACATTGAGGAAAAATGAGTGGGTGTCGTGGCAAGATAAATTGTGGGCGTCAAGAGTAGATCAAGCGGTGCATTGCAACAAACGACGAGGTGGCAAATTGGGTGCTGAGGTGGGTGATATGGTTTTGGTTGAGAGTTCACATTGTCCTCAGGTAGTAGGTGGGAAGGTGGCAAAGTTACGTGCAAGGTATGATGGTCCTTACCCAGTGGTAAAAGTGTTGAATGGGGGTCAAGACTTCCAATTACAACTCAGTGATGGGGATTTGACTCACAATATTTTCCATGGGTTGAGACTCAAGCTTTACCGAACGGACGAGTTGGTGGTGGTTAGTTGAATTTGGCAAGGAGCTACATGGTGCAAGTAAGTCTCCTCCTTACGTGTGCACCGCCTGTGGGGTTTCTACCTCTTGTTTTATAAAAAATTACCTTGGCCATATATATGAGCATTGCGCATTTGGCTGGTGGTTTTTATTGCAGGCTATGGATATGGATTTACAAAGACATGATTCAACTACGACGATTTACGATGTACTTAATCTGGCGACTGGGTTAAACAATTTTTCATTTTTACTATTGATTTACTTCACGTTTGATTGTATTTTATTTTGGTTACTTGAATTTTTTTTCCTTTTTTCTTTCTTTTCTTTTGCTTACAAGATGTCTTAGGTTTTGTTTTTATGTTTGGTGGTTTTTGATTGATGTGTGGAGTTTATGGAGGGGTTGAGGAGTTAGAGGATTTTTAGGTGGGGAGGGTGTAAGGGAGGATGTTACAGATGTGATCATGGGTATGGGTTTAGAGTGTACTACTGAGTATTTAGATATCAAACATCCACCCTTTTGGATTCTTCTTTTTTCTCTCAAGGTTCTCTATCTTGTTATTTCTGAATCTCTCTATTTCTCTTATTTTGTTTCTTTGATTCTGACTATCGGCTGGATTAGTAATTCAAACAAGGGTATTAGAATAATCCTCGCTCTTCGTGAGCTTGTGCCTAGACTAAATCCAGTGAAGGTGGAGAACTGCAACTCCACCTTACAACTTCCTTGCTAAGGAATGAAGCCTGATAAAAGTGCCATCCCATCTGCTCAGTTTATCTCAGTTGCTCAGCTAATCCTCAGTGATATCCCCGGATAAAGTTTTTCACACTGAGGGGCTGAGATCAACTGAGCAGCCCCTCAGCCAATACTCAATGACATCCTTTGGATCCTTCTGATCCGGCTAGGAATGCCCCTCAGCCAATGAGCAGTGAGTTCCTCCGGGGCCTTCTGATCTCAGGAATGCCCCTGAGGAATAGCTGAGCAGCTCAGTTGAACAAGCAGACGGGCCTCAGGCTTCATTCCAGAGCCATGAAGCTTGAGGCAAGCTTGGGGCTCTTTGATCCGTCCGGGGGATGCTTCAGAAACTTAGCTAAGGGAATACTCAGGTCAGCTCAGCCCCTAAGCTATACATTAGTGGCATTCCTTGGAACTTATTGAACCAGGGAATGCCGCTCAGGATCAGCCCTTCCTCAGACTTCTTTGCTCAGGAATAAAGGCTGAGGAAGGCTTAGTTTGTCTGCTCAGTTCCTGATGATCACGTAATCAGCTGACAAGCAGAAAGAAAAGGGAAACAAATTGGAAACAAATGGGAAACAAATGGGAACAAAACAGGAACATTTCAACACTCACATAGTTGTGAGCATCAATTTTTGCCCCTGTGTACAAACAGTGCTGCAAGACCGTAGCATTGAAGACTACTGGGCCCAAAGAAGCAATTGCCAACTGGAGTAATGCATTCACTGGTGGATAACTAAAGGATTTCACAAACCCAAGGAAAGAGTATATAAGTAGAATCAGTGCATGAATCTCAAATGATAAGAGCGGAATTTAGAAGACGGCTCACATGTCAGCAAACAATAAGATTGTGGTCAAAGCCATAGGAGCAAAGATTTCTGATATGTAACAAGATCACTTTCCACCCCGGTCTAGGAATGTTGGTGAAAAGCTTCTCAGAAGGTGTACCCAATCTTTTCTTCTTGAATCCAGTGATTTGAGTTCTAGATGATTGACAGTATCCAATCCAAGAATTTTCATGTGATCGACCATTTCCTTTACACATCCACCTCAAGAACTCTCAATAATCAATGATAAATTCTATAAAACTGAATTAATGAGGGTTGAAGATGAAAGGAGCCAACCAAAGTTCCAGGACGGATATCCAAAAGTATAGAATCAATAGAATCGATGGAATCGATGAAATCCAGAGACCCATGGTGACATATAACAAAAGGCACAAGGTTCACATCCCAAGATAGATACCAAGATATATACTTGGTCCTGCAAAACATGAGTAGATAATTGCAAATGAGATTTGTGTGGTCGCAAATCCATGTCCAGTTGCATTATATTGCGCTCCACCAAATGCCATGTTGGTCAACAAGGCATGAGATTGAATCTGAGTACTAAAGACCTCAAAGACAGGTGATAAGTATCCTAGTCGTTTTCCAAGTCGGATCATGATTGCAATCCTTGTTCAGTCAACTCTTGCAAGAACAGTGGTAGGAATGCTATAAAACGTTGCAGTGTAAGTATCAACTTGAGAGTGGTTCCTGCGCATGAATGACTTACCAATCAAGAAAATGATAAAGATAGACACAATACATTGCTTGATCCAATTGTATGTGGGAACAAAGCTATAACAACCAGGCAAACCAATGAATTGGCCTTCTGAATTGTATTTACAAGTTGTCAGGGAAGGATTTGATGTACATAGGAATGCCATTGTGAACATGAAACGTTGAACAGCAAAGATGATCTGGTTGGGTAAAGACTACATGTCAACTTGCTGCATACGAGAATATCAAAGGAGACAAGAGATAGGACTTACAAGGACGTTGCTCATGTGAAATCCAGGATGAGCACAATGAGATGTAAGAAGTCAATCAAGAGATAATTGGGTTCCCAAGTAATAATAGCCTCTCGCCAATATTTGTTCTCCCATACATGATACCAGTACCACTCTTAGTTTGCAAATCCAAAATTGTTCTAAAACCTGAATCTCAACCTTTACCACATTGATAATGTTCTGTATGCCTAATTCCCCCCCCGCTCTACCAAACGCATTCATACCTGCGTAAATATCTTCAGAGAGATGTAAACCTTTTTTAGCCTTTGAAACGTCTCCTCAAGTAGGTCATAAAGATTGCATTAAAGAAATCTGAATGTACATAATGTAACTTTCCCCCGATGAATGATGAACAATATTGATTCAGCAGCGAGTGTACCAAGCATTTGTTCTTTTCCAGCTGGACCATCACCAAAGACACCAATGTTTTCTGAGAAAATGTATTCTCTTGCTCCAACAATTGCAACAGGAAACTTGATGAATTCTTTTGCACCAGTCTATGAGTACGGTGATTATAGAATTCTTCAGATTCTCCAAGCATGTTACAAATCTTGAGATGTTCTTCGAGATAATTATCCTGATTGGCATGGATCAACTGAATATGTTCTCCACCATGGAAGATGATGGTGTGGTTTTGATTATCAGATTCTCCGTCACCCAGAATTGGATTACCAGGCAACTACACTTTGGTCTTGGGAAGTCTTCGGCCATTGGGTAAGATCTCCGAGTGATTGTTGATGAGCGCAGAGTAAATTTGAGTCTCTCCTCCTTCTTTACATTGCTTGTCTTTGTCTAGACACGCAATGACAAGATCATGAGAAGCTCTCAGTGAAAACTCAATGTTCTTGATTCTCTCCTTGCTGAATTTGGAGTATCATCGCATAAAGACCACAGATCTAAACTTTTGCCTTGCCACTGGCTCCAATCTGCGTTCTGACTTGTCTGTATTGTCACTGTAGAGTTGTACAATCTTGACATTTTTGACTCAATAAAGGGGCTTGATGGCTTTGGAGTAGTTCATGAACCCGGATACCGTTCAACAAAAGGTCTGAGCGCGAAGAGATGCCCAAGTTCAAGTTCGAAAAGTGTATTCGGGTGCAGCAGACTTGAAATCAATGGTATAAAACAGAATATCATCTGTCTTCTTCTTCTTGACCTTTCCATTGCTTGAACTTGTGTTAAATGCATAAGATGGGAATAAATTAGCCTCCTTGGGCAATATTTTTGTATCTCGTACAAAGTTGTCCCACTCAACTGGGCAAAGTTGTTTCAGATACCCCAACAGGGTGACTTGAGCATTTTGGTCTTCTTCCCTAATGATCTCTCTAAGCGGAAGCAGAAACTTTTTGGAATAATGCGGCGTGAGAATGGTAAAGGTAGACATCAATATGCAACAGTCAACGGATGGAGGTAATTGTCTGATATTGAGAATAACATGAGATCAGTTAAACGTGATCAGAGCAACAAAGAAAAGAAAGACGTACAAAGATTGAGCAACAAATGAAATTTGTCTTTTGGCCTCACTTCCAGGAGGAAAGAATTCAGCCTCTAGCCCTTTATCCTCTTGTGAGATAAAGAACATTGGTCACTTGGGACTGGATGCTGATCAAATGCACAATAGATCAGTATTCCAGAAACATGGACCAAAAGAAAAGAGACAAGAACATACATAAAAATACTCACTACATCAGAAGGATGATCACATTCCAAATCTGAGATATGTACCAAGGCCTGCAACTCGTTGTTGAGTTTTGCAAGCAAACCTGGTTTGTGATTATGTTATGGATTTAGCAAGGGGAGGGTTATGGGAAACGACTGGGACAGGGAAATTAAGTGCCTGAAAATAAGACTTAACAAGGGCCTGGGGGTTTAATCCAGTTTTTCTGAGAAACATGGTTGTGCCTTTAGTTTTATGATTCAGAGAGATGAGCTTGACATGTAAGATACCCCAGCTTGCATAGCTCTTGTAATGTTTGATGAAACATTCTAAAAAGCTACTTTTGAGAAGCTTTGGATGAGGTGATCTTACAATTGCCCTTGGCTTCTCACCAAATTGAGAATTGCGGGCTGGCATAAGTTTTCAAGATTCTTTGGGCTTTTCCTTATCTTTGGTGTCTCCCACCATAGACTTGTAACAAACAAGTATAGACAGCAGTTAGAGTACCTTGAAAGAAAGGCTTTTCAGGGCATTTGGCAGAAGTTTCTACTAGTTATTTCAGTAGAAACTTCGCACCAAATCTTCAGTGATTTCTCTTAATTAATTATTTTCCTAACTAGAAATAAATTGATCAAGAACACTAAATTCTTTTATAGTGTTTAGTATTTTAAACTCTAACTAATAGAGGCACTACGCAGGGTTAAAGTTTCTTGATCTGATCAAATCCCAATCAGATCAAGCAGCACTTAAGGACTACTTCCTTTATAGTCCGATTCCACAAATGGTTATCAACAACTATGACAATACTGTGTTCAAGAACAGTCACAAGTATGGAGAGAATTGGGAACCACAAGATCAAGATAACAATCACAAATAAGATAGTAAAGTTCACTTTACTGAAAGCTTATAATCTAGTTGGTGATGAGGATTTATTGAATAATAAAAAGTGTTAAATTGTAATGTGATGATCCTCACAAATTTTGCAAATTCAGAGTTCTTATAGTCTGAAGTTTGAACATCCTATGCGCACAATTTATGGTTCCAAGGTTAGGTTTTTATTACATATAGGTATAAACCTTTCTGCTTAGTCACATACATGTTACAGTTTTGCAATGTATGTAATCTCAGGAAATATATAAGTTGTGTACGTCCACAGTCTTTTACATAGGTTTTACACATGTTACATATGTTGATTCATATGTAATTTGACTCTTGAAACTGAGTCTGAGTTGTAATTATTGTTTTTAATGATTTTCTTATCATTATGTGTCAGCCTTTGGCACTATGGTTTAGTACTCAGGGCTGACAGAAAGTGTACAATTGAGAAAGTGTATGATTGAGTGTGAGCAAAAATGAACATTTTGCTAACAAATAAAGTGTGATCACACACTTTGTTGCTTCTTACCCACAAGGTAAGAAAAGCGAAATTGTGCACTAACAAAGAGAGAATAATGTGATCACATTCTAACTCAAATAAAAAAAAAACAAAAAAACAATCATGGACTGAATTTGAAAAGCATGAAAAGTGTTGTGATGTGAAATGACTGGGAACACAAGAAGATTGAACGGTACTTTATGTGAGTTGCTTGCACATTCTTCTATTTTCAAGATGGTGCTATTTATAATTATCACTGTCAGGATTAAAAACCCTCCCAATTGGGATATTTTTTCATTTCTTAGGAATAATCAATTATTGTGATATGAATGCCCATTAATTATTGCAAAAAAAATATTATTACATTTGGTAGAGTGTTTAATCAGGGCAGTGCATATATGAAAACCCTTTTCAACAAAGAATCATAATACACATATATATATAATTTGTAATTAAAAAGAACAAACAACACTTCATGCATATTTTCAATACCTTGGTATTGTTACTTGCTGGCTCATTGGGCAAAGTGATCAAGATTGCAAGACTGAGTTTGACACATTGGAGAAGTTTGCATAGCAGGAGCGCAGTAGGAAGAAACAATATGTAAGCTTCAAATCCTTTTGGCAACCTTTCAATTTTTGTTACACGCATTGAAACAGTCTACAGCTGTTTATATACCAACAAGCCACCACCGATCTATACCTGAATGACTCCATAGACCTCCTTCCAGATGCAACCTGTTGTTGAGATACTGAGAAAGGTTTCAACAGCTCTGAATCTGACCTGAATGATGCAGTGTCAAGTATAGAGAGTGGCTTCATCAGATTGATAGGCTTTCCTATAAGCATCAATCCACTGTAACATTGAGGGCTTCAGCAGCTATGAGGTTTGCTACTTGACATGAAGAGGGCAACAAAATATATCCTTTGGCAAAAGTATGTGGTAATCTTCCAGGAAACAATTATGACAGAGAATTTTTGAGGGAATTTGGTGATCTGGAAAAACTTGGACTCAGGATTACAAACAACACTTCATGTCTTGATGATGCAGTACAGGCTATTGCTGAGCTTGTAGTCAATTCGTCTCTCCTACTTAGAAAGATATGTTACATGAAGTTGCCTCAAATCAACATCATTTACCTGGTATCCATGAAGGGGCATGATAATGTACAACAGCATTACTAATTGTCTCCAGTTATTGTGATTTGTACATAATGTAAACTCATGTCAGCAGTTGGAAATCCTGCAGAAGACTGTTGCAGATCTGAAATATTGCCCCTCCTTGGTAGCTGGATGTGTTGAGCAGGTTCAACCATAACAGCTTTTGCATCCCTTAACACATGTTTATCCATGTGATTTTCATTGGGTTATTGGTCAGGGAACTTTCAAGTTGGTCAATGAGTCTTATCTCAAGACCTGTCAATTTCTGTTTTGCAAGAGAAGTCTTTGGAAGGTGCTGAGACAGATATTTGGCCATGATCATTGTGTTTTATCTAACAATCACTCAAACCTTGAAGATATTCTGACACCTTCATATGGGGACATGCAGCTAAACTCTTTTCAGTTCATTGTGGTTCACTGTTTCTACTCTAGGCCAAACACTGAGATTGGATTGAAATTGGACTGGAATTGGATTGAAATTGGATTGAAACTGGATTGAAGTGATACTAGTAAAATGACACTGACTCAGTCTAGTGGTCACCATGCCTATTTCAATTGGTGCCAGAGCAAGCTAATTCTCAACATAAAGTAGATGGAACACAACACACAATCAGGTTTTTCCTTATCTTCGGAATCTTTCACCATAGCTCAAAAATCAAGCTTTTAAGACGTCACAATCCTGACCACCAAATTTCAAATTTCAAATTGCACAAAAGTGCTAAGGTCCCTCTTGAAATCTCAAAAGCTTGACATTCTGGTCTGACTTTCTTGTCATCTGTTCACAAGACACAAGTGGACTAACAAGAACAAGAAAGATTCCATTTACTGTAAACAGAAATTTAAAATCAAGAGAAAGAATTAAAAAACAAGAAATCTGAAGATATGATGAGCAAAATTGAGGAAAATGCAACGTGATCAAAAGGTAATTTTACTTTATGCATGCATGAGAGACTTTCTAAGCTTTAGTCAACAACATTGGTAATTCAGAGTGAGGAGAAACAAGATTGACTTGCACTTTACAAGTAATAATATACAATCATACCATCAATGGCTTGGTCATCAGATTTGTATGGGTGAAGCTTAATGTGCAAGAAAATGTCTGAGTGGATGTAGGAGGGAGCCGATCCAGAGAGGTTTGCCTCCATATTTGGTGGATGGCTTCGGCGAGGGTATACTTGATGGGGTTGATCATCTTATGAGTAAGACTGTAATATTTGTAATTCAAAGACCAATCAGAAACTTGCCTGTCGATATATATAGAGAGTAACTCACTTGGAGACCAGAAATGATGCAAGTCATGCTGAGATGAGAGCAACATAATTGGACGGTAGAATACCAGAAGTTCCATCCTTTTTCTGAGCTCTCCACCATTTACCTGAAATCAAACCAGAATCTATAAGCAAGGTAAGTAAAGATGTAAAGAAAAGCATCGATCACATACCATGGCTATCGTGTATTTCCACGACCTCTCCTTTTTCAATACTCAACTCTCGAGGGTCGGCTGGTGAAGCTTTATCTAAACGTTAAAACGCAAGGCGAATGAGTTTAACACGTTTTTTTACATAAAAAGAAACCAAACGTTGCCGTCATGTTGTTCGACAACGATGATACAAGGCACGAATGACCGAACAGCACTCACAGCTGAACAAAGCCCTAGCAGGAAAGCTCGCCTGCGAAGTCTGCGAAGTCTGCGATTGGGTGACCGACTGGTTGGAGTTATCTTGCTGCACAGGACTGCTCAAGCCCGCAAAGCAAGAGTCATCGCTGAACAGTGCACTTCCGATTCGGTTTGTGGTCAGAGGAGTAAAGTTGGGTATTGGTGGAGGGATGGGTGAAATTAGCGGGGGCGAGTGAGGGTTCAGGTTATTGGAAGATAGTTCAGAAGATGATTGTTGGTCAATTGAGTTAACGGAGCAAGAAGGCAACCCTCGATTGTCGGAATTGACATTGTTTACATTTGAGCCGTAGGGTAGTGGAGGCTGCGAATGCGGCTGCAAGTGGGTCGGCCGTAGAGGTTGGGTCGGCTGAGGTGTGTAAACTGACTGTGGGGCTTCAAAAGATCTTTGTTGTTGCTGAGGTTGTTGAGGCAGTTGTGTGGGTTGCTGCTGAGGCACAGGGTTTTGTGTGTACTGAGTTTGGCTGGTAGGGACAAAACTTGCTACATTGGTAATAGGATTTGGTACGCGCGAGCCTTGTAAATTGGGAAGGCATGTCTGATGATAACTACTGCCGTCGTCAGTGGAAGCCATCTTGTTGTCATAATAGTCTACAGAAATGTCGCCCCGTGGTGCCACTCGACCTCCAACATCTTCCGATCGACTTTGATTAGCAGGTGCATAGCCTAAAACAACGTTGTGCACATTCGGAGGGTCATCATAGAGTCCGGAACGCCGTAGATTGATACTGGAACGAATGATCTGCTTCCGCTGGTAACCTGGATTGAGCATGGAAAGGAGAGCGGAATTTTCTGGAGCTGTAAAATATACCATCCAAGCTAGCTATCGAACGAAGTCAGATTATATAAGCGATCGTTTACTGGCTTTATGAATTCAGACTTGGGTTCTTGAAATAAGATCTTGTCATTGTTGGACATCATGATGTACTCACGTTGATCACGCTCAACACCAACCATCCAATCCCAAAGATCATCACACTAATCTCTTGTTTTGCATAAATACCCAAGTTACACGAAAGAACTCCAATCACCACATTAACTGAAACCAATGTCGCAAGCTGTGAAGTGTATTGATGCTCGATATCTCTTCCAACGCAAGTCATGATCCAAAGAAACAAGAAGAATTGATAAAAGATTCCGAACCATCCCACTCCAATGGGTGTTCCAACCAATTTATCGCCTGATGAAGAACGTGAAGCGTGATATTTTGATTCGGCCATACATTGTGCAATAAGAGTGATGATCCAAGCGATCGAGTGAAGGACAGCAGTAATAGCAAAAAAACGCTGGTTGACACTGAGAATTGAACATCGCGAGTTCAGTCATCCAATCTTCCCCATTTGTTTTTGATCTGATCCAGGGGAGTACTTACATAGAGCTAAATCGAAACTTGCGCGTGATCATGACGCCCGATGAAGGCATAGCTCGAGAAAGAACACTGAGATCGATGTATGCTGAGCAAACTTTGAGGAGAAGGTATCGCAAAGTATTTATCAAAGAAAGCAAGCAGATATGGACGGATTTGATTGGGGGAAATTGAAAATAAAGGCAAGCCTTTGATACAAGGTCAAATAAGGAGGGTTGCCGTCGATGGAGGGTATAAATACATGCAAACGTACATGCAAATGCAGAGGCTTAAAAAACTAATTTTGTTCAAATTTCGCGGGAGTTAATGCGCGAGCCCGCTGCGTTTCCAACGACACTGAAATATCTGAACAACGCTGAAGAAGAACGCTGAACTGTAAAAACTGTAAAGTAGCCGTCGCGTTGAGCACCGCGGTCCCAGGAGACGGTACCAATCATCCTTCCACTTTGGGCGAGGACGTCGAATCGAGTGATCTGAGGTATTCAGCCTCCGCCACCAACCTAATTTCATTTCCACCCGTGTTGAGTTCGAAGACTTTGAGAGTCTCACCATGTCAAATGCAAGAAACAGGGGCTGAAATTGAGGCAGTGAAGGTCAAGTTGAAAGTCTTCAACAGCTGAATGGACTTCTTGGTGCCTGATAAGAACTTTCCTTGAAAAACGCTACCGTGTCCCATGGACCACAATCAAAAATTGGTTTATTTAACTACTCATCTTGACATACATAAGGCCTGCACGTGTCCGTAGCCAAGGTTTGGGTCAAGACAAGCCCTTGAAGCCCGCATCTGCTGACATAAAATCAAAGAAAGATATTCAAGTTGTGAATGACTATTCAATGAACAAAAAGATATTACAAATAAATCTAGCAAGAAAGAATTCAAGGTGGTGTTTTAAAACGCAAGACGAAGTCTGTTACATAATTCTATCATTCATAAATAAATTTTTCAGGTAGATTTTGATCTCATGGAACCAATTTTGCAATTCGGAACTGCTTCATCTTCTGTCTAGCGGGCCATGAGTGCTGATTTAATTGGACGTAAAATGCGTCACTAGAGTCGATCCATTCAATCTGATAACCGCTCATCCAAGAATCATTGCTTTCCGTCAAACGATCATCGGTCGCCAGTTGGTCAATCACGCTTGAAATCCTTTTAGAATCATCATCTTCATCATCTCTGCGCGACGAAAGTTCGACTATGTCACCGTTGGCTGATATATCATCTTTGTGACATTTCGACAAAAGTGCAGCCGGACGGATGATGGAATATTGTCGAAGGATCTTGATGCCTCCGGGGTGGTTTCCCTCATAGGCGTATGTCGTGACATCCAAGAGGTAGCCATCAATGAGTAGGATGATTGACTTCTGTAATTTTGTCCGTATAGTGCTCACATCTCTTTCAAGATGGTTCTGTTGATCAGATTTTCCAACAAGATAGTCCAAGAGATGCTGACTGATCTGAGCTTTTGACCAACTAGGTATTGATCGATGTCGACTCCGGATCACATTGACGTCTCCAGCTTCATTCTCTTGAAGGCTGATTGAATGTGCTGGAGAAACACCGCCGCCAGGCGATTTGTCTTGTGCGGGAGCGAAATCAGAATCAGATTCTGAAGCGGAAGAGGGTAAAAGCGTAAGTCCCGTTTTCCTCAAACTCGACGTTGGTTGTCCGGTCATCTTGTGAATGACGCCTTCACGATCCATCCATTGCGAACCTCGCAAGCTTGTATTCTCATCACTATCGCTGTCGCACGTTGGCGAAGGTTCTGGTCCACGCTGGCTGAATAAGTCTTCAAGCGAAGGAAACCAGCGAGGACCTCCGACTTTGAGTGAAGGCCTAGGTGCCAGACGTGTCAATCTTAACACTCTTTTCCTTGCAAGTTCTATTTCTTCAGGTGGTGTGAGGTAGATCTTTGTCACTAGCGGCGTATAGGTGTATAAAAGATAGATGATCCACCTGAAAGGAATTGTATCGCAGTCAGACTTAGTATATGGTCGAACAGAACCGAAAATCGTGTGAAGTGAGCATACTTTGTCGGATCCCAATCTAACGTAGCTGGTCCATTACGATAGTCTCTTGGGAATACATGGTGATAATCTGGAGATGGGATCGGTCATAATTATTGTATCATTAGTTTGCCGTCTTGTTATGAATGACTATGTAGGTCACATCTTACGAGACAAGAGGGTCAGTGTAAGAAAGAATTACTCAACTATGATTGGCTTCACCACATGTAAAGATAGCAAGCCAAAAGTTGCTACGGGCGGTGATGTCAAGGTCAAAGAGCTGATCACCGACATAGTGCGCCAGAGAATTGATAAAAAAGGTCAAGTGCCAAATTATCAGCCTTGACACAAACCCGCCCCAGATCAAGCCATCCCAAGTTGAATGTGTGTTACACTTGAATATGTAGGTCGACAAGAAGTGCGGCAGAACAAATCCAATGATAACACTGATAGGAATATAATATCTGTGTTGGAAGTTCACCACTGTTTGTTTTAAAAAAAGATCCATATTAACCGCATTGAAATTGAGACCATGATTTAGATTTACCAAGGGAACTGATTGTAGTATACGGTCATGAGGAGTGATCAGGAAGCATATATGAAGACTGACCACGATCACGGTCAAGATCAGACCGATCCACTAGTTTCAGTTTCTCATACTTTGGTTTACGAAATATCCATCCCATATGAGAAAACAAGAGTCCTTTTTTGGCATTATAAGGGTCATCCTCGGAGTCGGTCCAGCGATGGTGCAGCCGATGTCGAAGGACCCACCTGTATATCAAAAAAATCTCATAGGATTAGGAAAAATGCTGTATTTTCTTTCACTGATGGTTTCAGATCAACATGATTTGATAGCATCAACTAATATCGCCTCTTTGAAAAAACGAAGTACCCACCAACGTACACTACCCTGGAATCCGAAGGAAGCAGCAAAGACAAGAAACCAACGAAATGGCTCGATAGCCACAAAGGCGCGATGAGACCATAAGCGATGATAACCAATGGTGATACCAAAGGTACCAAGTTGACAGTATGTCCAACATAAGATCAGATTGATTATCGAAACCTTATGAACGGGTGCGATAAAGATTATACCGAATACCGCGAAGGCATGTACGGAAATAAACTGAAGACCAGATTCGATTCAATGAACATAGTGAAATATCAGTATATATAGAGAGGTCATCTTGAACAAAGAGAACCAAGACGGACAAAAATTGCATTTGACCACCAGATAGGTGGAAGTTTATCATGATCGGTCAAGAAGGATGACTGATTGGATGAAGTGCTATGAGTTCGATGGTCCACGTCGGTGTGATTAAACTCAGTCAAAGTCTTATTAGAGGACGATGATGATGATGATTTCATGATATGAGTAAGTCAATATGGTAATGTGGAAGATGAGAGTGAATGATAAGAAATGATCGAGATGGTAAAGAGAAGTAAAGAGAGGTAAAGGGGTTTAATAAGAAAGTAGTTTTAGAATTTCGACTTGCTCAACAGATTCACCCTTCACTCTCTTTGTTTGTCTGTCTTTTCGGATCATCCCTTCGATCTCTCTCTCGATCGCCGTCAACTTTACCGCCAGTCATCTTATCGAGTGCGTGACATTGTCACTTTCGACGTCACAGCATTTCTCTGGTCACAGAAGTACCGCATGATCTCAGATATGTATACAGCACGAGCACCGGGGCCGGGTCTGAGAGCTTTGGAAATTGCCAAGTTCACTGTGAACTTGAATACGATTCTTTAACTCAACCGCGTCGCGATCGATCTTTATTGCCTCAACATTTGCCCAAAGACTCGATTGATCAACATACATTAGAAAAAATGGTGCGTCATTTCATCTTTGGTCAAAATTTACTTGAAGGGGTCCAATTTCTAACGTGCATTCTGAAATTTTGTAGGATCAGTACGGTAGGTCGAACTTATCCTTGTCCGCAGAGAATCTTGCTCATATTTTATCCATGATATTGTATTGAAATGCCGTGATGGATGATGCTTGTCCTTTGAAGATGAGTGGGGAAACTACATTGGGTTCGCTCAAAATTTCATCCGCTCTTCTGGGTATCAGATCATGAAAGACAACTCACATTTTTCAACTTGACCTGTCCTTACGCTCCCTATCGAATCAAGTGACTTGTCTGACGACTCGGATTCAGAAGGACTTGGGGAGAAGACCTCACACGCGAAGCTGCCTTCACCCAGTGACTTTGACTCGAATCCTCTCGGCGCGCTGCCTGAACCTGATGACCATGCATTGATGGAGATCGACGGTGTGTGATCGATTGCATTAGGTTTCAGAAAAAACAAATCCTCGCTCGATAGCACTGACCGAACTCCTGGTTCATTCATGCCGTCATCCATATTATCTAATTTATACAGATATTGGACCAAGTCAAGCTGTAGTACTCCATGACGACAAAAAATATTACCCCTTGGCTTCCGGTAATTCCTCGCTCATCTTGATCCACGCCAAATTCTACTCCATTCGATCCAACTAACATGGGTCAAATTACTCCATCCTTCATGTCTTCATGGTAGAGCTTTATGGTCCAGATGTTGAGACTATGGTTGAAGAGGAAGATGCACAACCTTTGAGCGAGCCTATCATCAATCCAATCAAAGTTCGAAAATTCACAATATTGGAAAAGGGAGCTGATGTTCCCGAGACAACGTTTCCAAAACAGTTGAGTCATTCTCGATTGTGTGCGTCAGTTTCGAGGTTTCGGAAGACTGACTGCTTTTTTGTAGATTCATGTTGGACCTGATGAGTCATTCTGAATCCGTTCGAAACGTGGCCGTTGTTGGTCATTTGCATCACGGTAAGACGTCATTGATTGACATGTTGGTTCATGAAACTCATCCATTTGATTGGGATACAAGCAAACCTGTGCGTACTTCCTCTTCCTTCACTAACATTTGCCTTCCTAATTTCGAGAGCGACGCTGATGTAAATTTTCTCCTCAACTTGTGCTTCAAAGTTACGTTACACCGACACCCATATCTTGTCTCAACAAAGAGGAATTTCATTGAAGTCTTCATCCATGTCATTTGTGCTGCCCAACTCGAAAAATAAATCATTCCTAGTCAACATGATTGATACTCCCGGCCACGTCAACTTTCTAGATGAAGTGACTAACTCATTACGACTGGTAGATGGTGCCATCCTGGTAGTCGATGCTGTAGAAGGGGTGAGTGCAGTCTCCGGATTCAGATTCCGCGTTGATTAAGTGGGTTGGGAACTAATTTTGACGATTTTTGTCACTATATAGGTGTTGGTCACATCAGAAAAGATTATCAGGCATCTTTTACAAGAAAACATTCCGATCGTGTTGGTAGTCAATAAAGTGGATCGACTGATATTGGAGCTACGTCTCCCCCCAGCTGACGCCTATTATAAATTAAAGCATACTATTGAGGAAGTCAATACAATCATCTCAAGTGTGAACCCAGATCCTAAATTCCGTGTATCTCCCGAGTTAGGGAATGTAGGTTTTGCCTCAACGGAGATGGGATGGTGTTTTAATCTTACTAGCTTTGCTAAGATGTACCGAGATACATATTGTCAGGACAAACGAGACCTTTTTGATATTGAGGAATTTGGTAAACGTCTTTGGGGAAATGTATGGTACATGCCAGAGGAGAAGAAGTTTGTCAAGAAGAACAAAGGATCGAGTGTACGATCGTTTGATCATTTTATTCTAGAGCCTCTCTACAAGCTCTATGGACAGGTAAGCACATGTGCACCCCTAGCAAAAATTGCCATGTAAAATTGTTAACACTTACCCTTTGGTAGGTTTTAGGCTCGGAGCAGACAGAGCTGCAAGAAACTCTTTCCACTCTCGGAATCTACCTTAAACCCTCTGCTTACAAACTCGACGTTCGGCCTTTACTTCGAATTGTCCTATCCCAATTTTTTGGACCCTCGACCGGTTTGGTGGACATGATTGCTGCACATATTCCAGATCCTCGACTTTCTGCCGACAGCAAACTCTTGACGAATTATACTGGTCCTTTGGACTCCCCCATTGCTAACCACATTCGAGAGAGCGACCCTAAAGGCCCTCTCATCATTCAAGTCACAAAGCTATACCCCACTCATGATGCCGGGGAATTCAGGTCGTTCGGAAGGGTGCTCAGTGGAGTGGCACGAGCTGGTGTCAAAGTTAAAGTTTTGGGTGAGGGATACTCCGTCAATGATGAAGAAGACATGATAGAAGCTACAATCGAAAAGGTTTTCATTTCGGAATCTCGGTTTGTACGGGCATACTATCTTTAGCCTTAAGAATCATCCTTAACTGAGGGGTTGTCCTTTTCACCAGTTATTCGATCGAGACCAGTGGAGTTCCTGCCGGAAACCTCTGTTTGCTATCTGGAATTGATAACTCGATAACAAAAACAGCTACCGTCATCGAAAGCTCCTACGCCTCCTCAGGTGGTGCTGGCGAAGGGGAGAGCCTGTACATCTTTAAGCCGATCGCCCATCTCACAAAGTCTATTCTGAAGATTGCTGTTGAACCGCTTAATCCCTCCGAATTACCGAAATTGTTGGAAGGGTTGAGAAAAGTCAATAAGACTTATCCATTGGTTGAGATCAAAGTTGAAGAGTCTGGTGAACATGTGGTGATTGGAACAGGCGAGATTTATCTTGATTGTTGTCTGTTTGATTTACGTGAGATCTTTTCAGAAATTGAGATCAAAGTGTCGGATCCGGTAGTCAAATTTTGTGAGACAGTAGTTGACACCTCTGTCATCAGGTGTTACGCCGAAACTCCTAACAAAAAGTAAGCCTTTTCGATTTCGCCGGATCTCATAATGGAGGTTTGGTTGATTTAACTAATCGATTCTACTTCTGCTTCTTCGTTTTGACGTGATCGGTATGTAAAAGAAACAAACTGACGATGATCGCAGAGCCCTTAGAGCGAGGGATTGCAGAAGATATCGAATCTGGTCGAATCAATATCAGGATGCCACCTAAAACACTGAGTCAGCATTTCATGGGTACTTATCAATGGGATCTTTTATCCTCTCGCTCGATTTGGGCATTTGGTCCTGAAGAAGAAGGCGGCGGGACCAACATTTTGATGAATGATACGCTGCCCACCGAGGTTGATCGAATCTTGTTGTCAAGTGTGAAGGAGAGTGTCAAACAAGGGTTTCAGTGGGGAACAAGGGAGGGCCCTATTTGTGATGAACGTAAGCATGGAACGACGATATAGACGACGAATCGCTTCAATGGTATTAATGATATTGTGCTCTTGTTTGTTTGCCAGCAATCCGGAATGTCAAGTTTCGTCTTTTAGACGCCACCCTAGCTGACGAGCCAATCTATCGAGGAGGTGGTCAGATCATCCCAACAGCAAGACGTGTCTGCTATTCTTCCTTCATGATGGTGAGTACCCATTGTTTTGACCAGGTATGAGTGGTCTCTGCGCTAAGTTCTCGAGTTCTCGCATTCTAGGCAACTCCTAGACTCATGGAACCTGTATATTACATCGAAGTGCAAGCTCCAGCCGACTGTGTGCCTGCTGTTTATGCAGTTTTGGCGAGGCGAAGAGGTCAGTTGATATGTTTAGGTTCATCTTGACATTTACCGCGGAACTCACAATGCCATTGGGTTGGTGGCTTTACCACAGGGCATGTTACACAAGATATCCCTAAACCTGGATCACCTCTCTACACAGTGAAAGCGTACATACCAGTGATCGATGCCAACGGTTTTGAAACCGACCTACGAACCCATACCCAAGGACAAAGTTTCTGCTTACAAACATTTGATCACTGGTCCATAGTTCCTGGTGACCCTACCGACAAGTCTATTGTTCTTCGTCCTTTAGAACCCGCCTCTGCGCAAGCATTGTAAGTGATATTCATTAGCTTATCGGATCATTTTTCGAAGATATGTATTGTGTAGATCTATCTGACTCCTGACGGCTTTTAGGGCACGAGATATGGCATTGAAGACTCGTCGGAGGAAAGGTCTTGGTGATAATATGTCGGTGGCCAAGGTAAATTTTTACAAAAGTTTGTTCACTATTTGTATCTCGCTGATAAGATATCCCTTTCTCCAGTACATCGAAGCAGATCTCGTTTCAGCTTTAATTGCAGCTGGTCAAGAAGATCTGCTAGGTTGAACGCAGAAAATCCAATATAAGACTTGAAGTTTTTTTTCCTTTGGAGATTATGTTAGCATGTAATCTTGCTCTCATAGATGATGTATTTGATATCAAGAGTGTGTTTTGCAGCTATTTGTTGATGAATGAAATAAAAAAGTGCATCAAGATGTAGAAAGTTTGCAATTTATTCAAACCTTGTGGTACACAGATTGTCTTGCATATTCTCACAGATTGTCTTACATATTCTTGCTCTATGCGTACCTGAAAACAATGAAGAAATTGACTTCTTCGAATACAAATTTACTATTCTACCGCATGGAATAAACCTCAGTCAGTGTATGATGATAGTAAATTGTGGCTGTAGTCAAGAAAAGCAAAATATGATTCAGAACCAACAGGAATTCAGGAAAGCATCTGATATCAATTCACACACCAGGCAAATTGAGGTCATATACACTGCCAGCATTAAAGAGGTTCCCAGATGGGAATATGAATCGTAGGAACCAGACATCCTTTGTGACTACATATATCACAATGGCGGTCTGATCCCTGTGACCCAAATTCCCATCTGGGAACCTCTTTAATGCTGGCAGTGATAGTGAATACAGGTTATGCGGTCATGTTGAAAACAGAATACATATACAGTCAAACCTGTTGTATGGCATACCTGTATATTGGCTTAACCTGCCAAATTGCATACATTTTGGCCTGGACAAGCATGGTCAGGGCCAAATTATGCCTTCTCTGTCTAATGCCTTATGGCATACTTTTCTTGGACATTAGTATGGTATTAAGGCATAAAATACCCAAAAAAATGCACACAGTGTGTACATACATATGTTATGTGTACTTTATATGATCCATCTTTTGTGCCCTTGATCCCATTCAAGTATCATGAAATGGAGCAATTAGGTGTACTCAAAAGCTGTGCTATCAGAAAAATCTGTCTTATGACATGAAAATATGTGATTATAGAGATAATTTGAAAGGCATACAATTATGCCATATGGCAGTACTCTGCCATATGACGTAACCTGCTATAAGGCATGCCAAATTGGTTGGACCAAGGGGTATGTCTTAAGACAGGTTTGACTCTATTCCCGCGCCCTGGGTCATGTCACAACTACATGACATGTCTTCATGTAGCACACCACTGTAGGGCTGTGACCCGGGCCCGGGTGTGACAGGGCCGACCCGAGGCCAAGTCCGACCTTGGGTAGACCCGAGGACCTCTCAGAAACGCTTGGGTTGATCAGGGCACGCCCTGAATCTTGGGCCCCAAGGCTTGGCAGGGTCAGGCTCAGTAAAATGAGGGCAAAAAAGGCTTGTGTATTTATTTTGAGTTCATGTGTTCAGAACAAAGCTCACAAGTCTCAACTTAGTAATTGAAAAAACTCGTTTCAGGGTCAAAAACAAGAATAAGAGAGTTAAACACTCGGAGGGGGGATATAGTTATATAGTTCATGTTTTTAATCAAGTGGAATAAAAAGTATAAAATGCTCTAAGAGCCTACTTAGAACTGAACAATTCTCTTGAGGACTACTTTTAATATAAGACTGTACTTTGAGTTGTGAAAATAAAACAATTTACTTTGGTAAGACTGGTAAGACCTTGGTCCAGCTTTTGAGACAGACTTGAGCCTCAAGGTCCGTGGGGGTGAAAGAGGCTTGGTGATCATATTGGATTATTTTCATCATCGAGCTGAACTCATGTTGTGTCAAGACCTTCAAGCGTTAAGTAAATAGATCAATGTTGTCACAAAACGTTCAACGGTCGTATGTACAAGTAGAACATTGTCGACTCGATCAGTTTAGAGCTAATGATACATGAAAGGGGTAAATGTGTGTTTGGTTGTCAGTTGATTGGAATGTAAGCTTAGCGAAGTAGTGCATGAATGCAGGGGTGGTCACGCGTCTTTCTTTTCTCTTTTTGTTTGTCTAATTTTTGTCTTATATGTGTGTTCGCTCGTGTTGTCCCCTTTAGTTTTTCTTTTTCCTCACCGTCTGGGAAAAGAAATTCTAAAGTTTTATTTCTTTGTCAAACCTTGTCAGGTTTGCTATCTTCTTAAAATCTCTTCAAGTCTAGTCAGCTCGCTGTCGAGAGATTTATATTGTTTTTCTTTGTTAAAGCCTTTAACACAGATATCATCAACGTCGAGTTGTATCTCCGTTGTATTCTTTTATGGTAGCGAGAGTATCATTCGACACCTGTCTTTCAACTGTCCATGTCTAGTTCTTCCGAACGTCCTCAATCAGAAGAACCTTCACTTACCGACGACGAGTCTACGGAATCAACCACTTCCAGTTCATCTTCTGCATCAAACCAAACCGCCAAACTTCAGATTTCCACTTCATCAACTTTTGATACGTTGTTGAATTCTTCGAACACTATGTCGACCGAGGAAACTCCAAATGCATTATTTGGAAATTCTCTACAGAAGTATGGTCAGCAGTTGAATAATGCTTTAAGCAAATTCAAGTTAACCGATGTCCTAGAAGATGGTAACTACCCTGTCTGGAGCCGATGTATAGTTGTAAATCTCGAAACCATAGAATTGCACCACTATGTCTTGGTGAAAGACTATGTAGACTCTGAACTCACGAAAGATCAAGTACTCAAGACCAGGAAGATCATAGTCAATTATATCTTAAACTATTTAGACAAGAAAAATCAAACTCAGTCTGTCACCCATCTCAATGATCCTAATGATCCTTTAGAGATCATCTATGATCCTTTCAAATTGTGGTTATATCTCAAAGAGAGACATTTTCTCGTAAATGCCCAACGTTTAGCTTTCATCACTAAATCATTGAGTACAATTAAAATCACTCGTGGTGAAACTTTAACTTCTTTCCTTGATACTTTTGAAAATCTTTTCGTCGACTTTCTACGATATGGAGGTAAAATGGATGACATGCAGTCAGCTATCAGGCTCATCGATGCAATTGATACGTTATCGAGTCACACTGTCGAGTTCATTCATACAACTGTTGTCCCTCTTACTCGGATTGGAGTCGCCAAGTATCTTCGCGAGTTTGAAACCCGTCACTCCTTCTCTACCGAAGTCACTCGTGGAACCAATTTCTCTGAAGTCAACGCTAATTCAGCTTATCGAGGAAATCGTGTTGTCTGTACTGAGACTGTGTGCCGAGGTAACCATCCTCCAGAGAAATGTTGGTCGAAACCTGAGAACTTCAAGGAAAGAGACGATTTCTTAGCTCGACGAAGAGGCATCAAATCAAATCAACATACGAATGTCAAATCTCAACCTTCATTCAACGGATCCGTTCCCTCTTCTCAAGAACAAGTTCGTGGAATGAAACGAGTGACCGATCAAGCTTCAGCCAATGCCGTCACTGCTTCTTTAGAAATGATGTGCCTCAACACAGAACTTACCCCATTGAAATCAAATGATGTAACTTCAGTTTCTATTCACACTGAGATGATGACTGGTCATACCATTTTTGAAGAAGTAGATTCAGAACCTTCCGCCAACGCTTCAAAAGTCGAAAACTCTATGACTATTTGGGCGTTACACGACACAGGAGCAACTCATCACATGTTCAATGTCAAATCAATCTTTGTTCAAGATAGTCTTAAACCAATTGAAGAGTCAAATCTAAGATTGAAACTTGCTGGTGGTAATGTGTCACTCGCGGTAGAAAGTGTTGGACGAGTTCAGTTGAAAGCTGGAGATGGAACTGTGTTTGAGTTGTCTGAGTGTTTATACGTTCCGGAATTATCTAAGAATTTGATTGCTGGGGGAGTTTTGAAGATGAAAGGAGTTAGAGAAGTGTATGACAAGACCGAACCGAACTGCTTTGCTTTAGTCAATAAAGGACTAGCCATCTTTAATGGGGTCATCTTACCTAATGGACTCATGAACATCATTATCGATCCAGTAAGCAATCCGAACACCATCAAGTCTGAACCTTCATCTTGCTCATCTATCTTTCATCGTCGCTTAGGTCACATCAGTCCTCAGTACTTAAGACAAATGGTGAAAAATGGAAGTGTTGATGGGATTAAGGACCTTGATTTTGAATTTATGAATTGTGATATTTGCTCGTTGTCTAAAAATACAAAATTACCCTTCAATCATACTCGTCCCAGAGCTACTAAATTTCTCGAGAACGTTCATGTTGATCTTAGTGGAATAAATCGTATAACTGCTGTAGGAAATGAAAAGTACTACATTTTATTTTGTGATGATTTCTCAAGCTTCCGTCATATCTATGGGCTTCGAGATAAGAGCAAAGAAGAAGTGAAATCTGTGGTTATGTCCTACATTGCTCTGAGTGAACGCCAAACATGTTGCAAGTTGAAACAACTCACTTTGGATTGAGGGGGAGAATTCTTAAACAACTCTCTCGGACCTGAACTTCGTAACTTGGGAATTGTCCTTCATCTCACGGCGGGTCATACTCCGGAACAGAATGGAGTAGCTGAGAGGGGAAATCGTACAGTTATGACTAAGGCCCGATGCATGATGATCGAGTCTGGAGTTCCCTTGAGTTTCTGGTTTTTAGCATGTGAAGCTGCAGTTTTTCTCACCAATCGAACCATCACCAAAGCTGTGTCCAATTTCAAAAGTCCTTTTGAAATATGGTATTTCAGAAAACCCTCTATCTCTCATCTTAGAGTGTTCGGATGCAAAGTGTTCCGATTGATTCGGAAGGAACTCAGAACGTCCAAATATCTTCCAGTTAGCTCTGAAGGAGTTCTGGTTGGTTTCTATCAAGACAACTTCAATTATAGAATTTTCGATCTTAATGACAAGAAATTTCACATTACACCTCATGTCACTTTCAATGAAGATCAATTTCCGTTTCGAGTTCACCCATCAAGGATTTCTGATAATGAAACCGATGTGATCAGGACCTTCTACTTCGATGATGATGATTCTTCGGAAGAAATCAACGTTGAAACAAACGCTGAGATCTCTAACGAGAATTCTGATGAAGTAGAAGCCTGTGAACAAAATTTTCAATCAGTTCCAATCACTCCTTCTGAAACTCCTGAAGTCATTCACGAAACTGTTGATTCAACCGATAATCCATCAAACATCGATTCAAATGATTCTCAACCTTCAGTCCCTACTCAAACTCGATTCACCTTTCGGAACATACCTAAAGTTGACTACAAGGGTATGGCCAGCATGGCAGTCTTTGAGGATACCGATTACTTGTCACAGTTCGATTGTCTT